TTAACTTTTAACTTAATTAAGATTTTTGTAAGAGTTCAAAAATGTGATTTTGTAATGAATTAAACAATTTGTTCAATGTCGATAAATCAAGTGTACAACTGAGAGATGACTTATTGGCATCTATAAAGGCATTTTCAAATGTATTTTCGAATCATTCTGATTATGTTGGATGTTTCTTTTTCCTTATTTTAGATTGTTCTGCAATTGGTACTAGTACGTTAAATAATGTTTTGCTGATTTGACTTTCTCTTAAGGTGGGGTATGTAAGTTTGAGAAACCGGCTCGAGATACACTTGTTATATTCCATGGAATGCTCTTAACATCCCGATAGCAATGAATATCTGAAGTGCTTTGACAAAAAAACCCATCAGTGGAAGCCGTAGTACTGTAAAAAGCACGACCAATCATTTTAGCCGGCCCGGCTAAAGTAACTGGATGGCCTACCTGCCTGTCAGCCTTCCATCTGTGCACAAACTTATCTCGTGCCCTCATTGGTCATGTGTGCGTTCGTGTGTGTTGGAGGAGGGGCTCTGTAAGGAAGTGGTAGATTTTTTCTGGCTGTGTATTTTCAAATTCTAGCGCACTCGAGCTGGTTTCTCCAAAATTACCAACCCCACCTTTAAATAAATAAATGTATTCAATACTTTTACTTGTAACAAGAGTATTTACACTTTGGTTTTAGCACTTTTACCTAAGTAAAAGTGCTAAAAACCAAAAGGTAAATGATTTTAATTCTGGTCATATGGTCGTCACTGCGAGGAAGATAGAGTATCTTGGTGGTCGACTTCCAATGAATTTAATTCAGCAGTTCAGATGAACATGCACAAATGTTTATTTGTCTGCATCAGGGGTGGGGAACCCTTTTTTCTCTCAAAGGCCATTTCAAGTTGTTCAACATCCTCCGAGGGCCGTACTAACGATTGACCTCTGCTTAAAAATACTAAAAGAATGAACAGCCCATTCATTTGGCCTTTCTTTCATGCTGTGCAAAGAAAAAGCAACCTCTTAATCCAGATATTTTATCATGACTCGCGCATGCATTCGCGTGCACGGTGTGGCATGACCAGCAAAACAGAAAGATATGGACACAAGATTTTTTTTTTTAAATATTGAAGTTAAAAGCATCAATCTGGTGCACTTTGAGAGCAGCATGAAGAGATCTGTGGATACATCTCTCAACACCCATTTGAAACAGAACTGTACACAGATTTTATTTTTCTTTATGGATATTTTACAAATCACTCCCCTTTTAAACTGTATTCTTGTTTATTAATAACAACTTATTTTTAACTTTAATTTTGTATAACTATAATGGTCATATAAAGATGTGCCTCTACCTCACTGGTTGTAGAAAAAGCTTCTTATAGCTAGCTAACCAGATGCTAATAACAACAAAGTTATTGACTGTATGATCAGTATGACAGATGAACAGATCGCCACTGGGCTTTCAACTAAAGACACAGCCACGCAGAAACTGCAGCATGTAGCTGCAGCTCCTTATGGGTACTGCAATTTGTGAAGTCCCGGTCCGGAGCCGCGTTCTGGTGCTCTCCGTTAGAACTACACCCCTGTCAGACGAGACATATACCACGTGATGACACGTGAGGCTCGTGTTGTGTTCAAGGACCCTGACCTTGGCCAGGAAAAACAGGCACTCGCTTGTTTAATTATTTTGCGGTCTAGATTTCTTTACATTTTTTATTTTTTATGTGTGTTTATAAATTACCTCGAGGGCCGTACCAAATGGTCTTGCGGTCCGTATACGGGCCGGTTCCCCACCCCTGGTCTACAGACAAGCTATTTCCCTCTGAGAAGTATAAAATAAAGCATCATTTGACATTTTTTAAATGATAAACCCACTAAATGAAGTGAAGCAAAAAACAGTTGAAGCTGGGTTTAGTTCTCTGGACATGTACATCCACAGATATGCAGTTACAGGTGCTGAATGCAAAGCACTCGTGGACATGTGTTGGAGGTGATGTGTGTGTGATGGGGATAATCCTCTGATGATGATGATGATGATGATGTTGATGAAGGGTTTGCTTATTATCTGAGAAAGCCTGCTATTACCTCCCTGAACATGGGCAGCAGAGCAGAGATAAATATGACATCTATTTGAGTTGTCCATGCTAAGATTAAAATAGTGCAACACGTACTCATTCATGTTTTACACTCACAGAAGGCAATAAATAATACTACTCAGGTAAGATGAGTGCTCTCTTAATACTATCTCTAGAAGAAAGTTGGACACATTGTGATATCTTCATTGAACTACACAGATACCTGAGGGAACCACAGAATAACACCCAAAGACTGAAACATCTGAAATCACAATGTGCAACATGAACCTTCATGTGTGGAGAGAGAAACCTGTGTGTGTGTGTGTGTGTGTGTGTGTGTGTGTGTGTGTGTGTGTGTGTGTGTGTGTGTGTGTGTGTGTGTGAGGGTCCAGTGTTGGTGCATCTACGGCTGAGAACAAAAGGCACAAATCACAAATATGCATATGGCTGATGTTTGATAAGCAGCTGAATCACATGACCTCTCCTCTCAGCACTCCACAGAACTAGCCGTCAGAACATTACCCACTGTTGGATCTAAACTCCCTGTAGTAGATGGTACCATTTGAAACTGGTTACATTGTACCCTTTCATTGGGTCCACACGACTAAACACATGTAGAAGAAAATGACACCCATAAAATAAAATGAGACTTAGATTGTGGTCGAATACTCTTTTTTTCTTAGGAAGGTTCCTAACGGAGGGAAATGACCCGGAAGTACCTCAGTGTCAGTCATGATAAGAGCTGTTTGATTAGATGAGGGGAAAAGAGCTTCAATGCTTCCTTTATTATCTGAGCCATCCTTTATGAAAGACTGGAGATAATGCTGTCCCACAATTCCTTCCGGCCGCAACATTTACAGTGACACAGCGTTCAGCCATTCACGGGAGAGAAACATTGTGAAGGACTAACTTGAACTGTTCCCTACACATCAACCTCATGTAACCACGATCACATGATCAGCACACAGCCAATCATCTAAATGCTGCATATGGTTCAACTCTGTACTTATTTGACTTTTATTATAAAAGAAGAGCGCGTCATTTTTTTAAGATAACTTAATTAGGGATCAACAAATCCATCCTTTGCTTCCAAATAACCGAACAGAGCGGTGCAGGAATGAGTCCTGAAACCCTGAAATTAGTCAGCATTTTAGCACCTCCGGTTCCCTCGTCTTGGAATCAACAGTTTTTTGAACGTGTTTGTGGTTGAAACCCTGAAATAAGGTCAGTGGTTACCACAAGCTAAGGAGATTTGAATGTTTTTTATGTCAGTAAATAGCCCACGTGTAAATATCTGAAGCTTGTATGCAGGGGCGCCAACAGGCAAGGCAGGCAACTGCTTGGGGCCCCGGACCAGAAGGGGCCCCCAGCGATAGCGATGCTATCTTCCGGGGTCAGCCTACAAAAATACGTCACCAGTGCACCACTCTATTAGCTGCATGATTAAAAGCAGGATCACTTGAGCCTGATATTAGCATGATAGTCTGCTTTGGTTGGGCCACATATAAAAAACAGGGCTCCGATTGAAATAGAGTGAGCACACTGTCAGAGATGAGAACAGAGAGGCACTCAGGTTTCTGTCTCCGGAGCTATTCAGTCATTCTGCTCATCGGTCCAATCATCAAGTTCAGCACAGCACAGCACGCTACATCTTAAAGCTAAAGGAACGCAAACTAAGGGAGTGTTGGAGCAAGAATGCTAACAGAGGGCTGCTCTCACCCACTTCAGTCAGCCAGTGAAGATCAGTGTGTGCGCTTCAGGCGGAGAACGTAATCGTGACTTTACACTGTAGTTATGAGGTATTTTGGCTTTTGGTTACATACAGGGTAGCACTGTTTCATTACAAAGAACAACAACACTACTTAAAGCTAAATGTTTTTGGCTTTTTAGTCTTTTGGTACAAAAATAATATAGCTTGAGCTGAGCGTAATAAGAGGGCTAACCAGCTATTGATGCTAACAGTTTGAGTTGAGATGGACATACAGTACGAGCACAGAGATGACATAAACACTGGGCTCCTTTATCCATCCATCTGCCACCCAAACACACTTGTAACACTGTGTGTATTCACTTTGAATTAACTCCATTACTTTTGACATATCTGTGTTTTGTCATGAATTAATTTGCAGAACACTGCTACAATTTTAAGAAATCCCAATTGCATATAGGGAAACTGGATTTCTGCAGTGCATACAAATGTCTTCAGAGCAGACACGGTTGGTCAGAATCTTTCCTCCCTTGTGTTTGACTTTAGATTGCAGAGCAAAGCATTAGAAACATGTGTGTGTGTGGCTGCAGACAGTTTGGTTGCAGTGTGTCTGCGTGTGTGCATTGATTGTTAAAAGCATAATGTTATTGGTCCTCGATGTTTCCTGTATTTCTCATTGATTTGCTTCGTGTATCAATTTAATAGCATATTTGGCAACAGGTGTGTGTGTGTGTGTGTGTGTGTGTGTGTGTGTGTGTGTGTGTGTGTGTGTGTGTGTGTGTGTGTGTGTGTGTGTGTCGTATATAGTAGTAGTAGTAGTAGTACGTAGTACGTACGTCGTACGTACGTACGTACGTACGTAGGTAGTAGTAGTGTGTGTGTGTGTGTGTGTGTGTGTGTGTGTGTGTGTGTGTGTGTGTGTGTGTGTGTGTGAATGTTGACTTGTGTTGTAAAGTTCAATGTGAGCGAATGCATAGACTGAAAAAAGCTCTATCAAACCAGTTGATTAACATGTGCAGTATTTGATCTTCTATGGTTGTAAAGGTTAGTGTAAAACTCACCTTTTATTGCAATATCGTATCNTTGATTGTTAAAAGCATAATGTTATTGGTCCTCGATGTTTCCTGTATTTCTCATTGATTTGCTTCGTGTATCAATTTAATAGCATATTTGGCAACAGGTGTGTGTGTGTGTGTGTGTGTGTGTGTGTGTGTATGTGTGTGAGTGTGTGTGTGTGTGTATGTGTGTGAGTGTGTGTGCACATTCATACAGTTCAGATTGAACATGTTGGTCCTCAGTTAGCAGGCCCTGGGTCTGCCAATGGCATAGTGTGCAGCACCTCGTCCAGCAGCTGCAGAGCGCGGTGCAGGTGGACCTCCACCCAGCAGGGGGTGTGTTTGATGCTCTGCCGGGGGTAGTCGGGCCCCCAACCCTTTACGAAGCTGAGCCGCAGGATACACAGACGCCTCAGGTCGTCCACCCCGATCCCCGCGGCTGCAGACAGACCTGTGAGAGGAGGGGGACACATCACGTCAGGGAGCCTTTCTGTACTCATGGGCTTTAGAAGGAGGCTTACATGACTTATGCTGTACCTTTCGCTCAGCCTGTGGTATCACTGCTTTTACACTCACTAAACACATAGAGCTTCTTTGGGACCATGCAAAAAACAAGCCATTTTGCGAGAAAAAAAACCGATGATGCTGTAAATTGGAATGGAAGTCCTACAATACTGAAATGAAAAGGCTAGTAAGGAAAACAAAAGATGAAGATTGCAAGTGAATAAAGCAGCGGTTCCCAACCTGTGGGCCGTGAAGGCAGGGCAAGTCGGTCGCCAAATTATTATTTTTATTATTATTATTTATTTTTTGTACAGGCAAAAGACACAAACATAAACATAACAATAACATATAGGAGATGACATTCCCATCTCAGATAAAAACAAAACAAAAACAGAAGAAATAAAGATACAATCAGTAGGATCACTTCAACATTTCACAAACAAAGGTTATACAACCAAAAACCACCAAAACACAACATGGGAAGCATATTTATTGTTCCTTTAATCCCACTCTTCGTTAGAGATCATTATTTCACATTTCATGGTGTGATGAGCCACCCTTTGATTTTTTGTGGCAATATTTTTTTCCAAAAGAAAAGATATTTTTAATCTACTCTTTAAACAACTTAAATTAAGATTACTCCTTGATTGACTTTTAAAAAGATGTGTTTTAGCCAGAAGAATAGTTGTATTTATGAACTATTTATGAATGTGCGGTCTTAATCTAAAAGCCCAAATAAAATATTAAAGGATGTAAATGTAAATTCAATATTTGACGCCAAATAATTAGCAAAATATTATGATTTGTGTGGAAACATTTTCATTATTAAGATTATTTTTAATTTGAACCTCTTTTCCTTTCTCTTTCTTGATCCTGCTTAGCAACGGTCATTATAGTCCTTGACAGCGGTCTGTTCTACTGGATTAACAAGGTGTCACATGTTCTGAATTGAATCAGAACTTTATTTAGGCTCCGTATTTTTTATGGTTGAATGTGGGCCGCGAAAACATTTTCGATTCTTAATAAATAAGCTGGAATAAAGCATGCAAGTAACATCTGTCCACTCCTAAAGAGGAAAAACCGCCACTTGACTAACTCTGGTGCATTGACCGCAACGTCTATCGATGTGCACTGTCCCTGTTAAATAAATGTATTATAATGTAGCAGCAGCATATAGTATATATAGAAATCCCCAAAATCCTAAAACATGTACAGCAGACTTGAAATAAAGAGTACAAACACAATGTAATCTTCAGTATCCCAACACTGCTCAAAGCTGCATGAGTGGGCTCAACTACTAACACGTCACCATTTCATATACTTGTTATCTGTCCACCGAAGGGGAATTGTATATATATATATATTAGTTCCTACCTTGAGCCTTAAACTCTTCATTGTACATTTAGCATGTTTCTGATTGTACTCACTAACTGCAGGTGCGATGCCTCCAACGCTGCCTGGCCCGGGGATGTTTCCTGCCACAGCAGCAGCCTGCGCAGCCGCTGCAGCCTGCGCAGTCGCTGCCTGCTGCTGCATCTGTCTGTGGCACTGCCGCAGGTCAAACACCTGAGAGACACAGAGCACATTACAACTTTCATTCTTTAATCACACTCCAACTGTTCATATAGCCAATAACAATGACTAACTTCAAATGAATGTGACTTATTTGTTTGTGTCTCGCAACCTATGAAATCAATGCTTATAGTTCAATGCTATATAAATACCTTATTAATACTGATACACCACTGTATGTATTGTAATATGCATGTTATTTATTGTAGTGCAACGTGTGCATTTTTACTTTAACTTCCCATATAAAACAATGATATTCTATTTCATTTTATCTTTAACTGGACATCATACTTTTACTTGATTATGTTTTTATTAATATTTTTTTCATTTTTATAATTTTATTTTTTCCTTCTCAAATGGAGCAAGTCTCGCAAAACCCAATTTCCCCAGGATAAATAAAGTATTATGATTCTGATAATTGCATGCTACTGTGTGTGAGTGTGTGCGGACCTTGATGTAGGCCCCGGGGTAGATCTTGTGCACAGCGTCCCCTGGGGCCCGGCCGGCCTCTCTGTCCAGGTAGTAGCTCTGTACGAACACAGCGTGGTCGCTCATGCAGCGCATCCACACATCGCCCTCCCCACGGCACTCCAGCTGCACGCCTTTACCTATGTGCAACCTGGAACACACACATGTGGAACCTCCCTTCATTTATTGGTAACAATGAATATTATTATACTGGCCTTGGCTGCAGAGATTACGGGGTGCTCCACCAGTGTCTGATTGAAAATAAATGTGATGTTATTTAGTTAGCATACAAGTGTAGTCCTAAAGCCTCCAGTCCTGACTTCAGAGGACAGCTCACCTGGAACAGAAAAGACGGTTGGAAAGTCAATTTCCCTGAAATGACCAATAAGTATCAGCCATGATCCTTTAGGAAAGGACAGGAGAAAATGCTGTCCCACAATTCCTTGCGTCCACAACAATTAACGCGACGCATCATTCACGGAAAAAACCTATTGTGACCAAGAAATGCAGATCATGTAAGTTAGAGTGCTTATTTAACATTTTACAATTTATGCCTTAAAGGTCTCTTATTATCCTATTTTTTTCGCCATATATTATAGGTCTCAGATATATAAAAATATATAAAAAACATTTCTATGATGTGTTTTGCTCAAAATACCAAACAGATCATGCATCTTAGACATCCATCATACCCCTCTATTCCAGCCCTGCTAGAGAAACGCTGATTTTGGGAGGGGGAGCTAATGCCTGCTCAGATACTTAGAATTCTGCTGTGATTATATGCCATCATTTTCCAACCACATCAAGGATTTTTTCTGAAACAGTATGGAGCTCAAATGTTTTTTCTCTTGCAGGTGAGTTTCTTGTTTTATTTCCTGCTTCTTTACACATACTGGCCCTTTCTCATTTCATCAAATCCCCCTCCTCGACTCCTCGACTCCTCGTCCTCCGGTAGTGACCCGGAAATTAATTTCAGCGCGCCATGTTGAAGGACATCTAATTTCTCAAAATGCACTTCGAGGACCGAGCATCGAGCGTCGAGGAGGCTCTCTGGAGGAGCTATAACCGAGGAGACACTGATGGGTCCTCCACGGCTCCTCCACGGATGCATTTCCGGGAACGGTGGAGGCGTGACGCACGGCCGGACTTATCTCAGCCAATGACAGCTCTTCATGCATCCCCTTGATATTGTTTTAGTAACTGCTTTCATCGCGACGCGATGTTTACAGTGAGAACAGCTGTGAGGTCCGTGCAGGAAGCAGAGCAGTGTTTAAAATATATATCACTCAGTATATCAGGCGTACTCTCTTTAGGCCTATTTGTTTTAGTTTAGTAGATATCTACAAACAAAGAGTCAATATCTTTCTAAGACCGTTTAGTGCTTCACATAATAAAATACACAACGGCTGTAGCCTGATTATGCTTTAGGAGCTGTAGGTGTGTGTGGTACAGTGTGTAGGTGTGTGCGTGGTACAGTGTGTAGGTGTGTTTGTTGTACAGTGCGTAGATGCGGTGGGTCAGACGGGTCTCAGTTGGTTTGGTATCCTATGCTTACTTTAAATACTTGTAAATACAACTTTTGGCCCTTAATTTCAATTCCCCATTTCAGCGACC